CATATATGTGATTTCTAAGGACAGCGATGTGGTGCTGGCTAGGGAGGTATTATTTGAAAAAAGTTTTAGAGAAGTAAAGACTTGCTTATGGCTGGCTGCACATCAGGATACAGAACTCCGAATCCACTACTCTTCAAGGCAAAAGCTTTGTGGTCTATGAATCTAGAAGGTTGTTACCTCTTGTGTTCTAGGTCCATGTTGGAGGCAACTGGATGTTAATGACATCACACAGAGTAACATGTTTACATGTTTTATTTATGACAGAGTTCCAAAATTATTTGCTGGTGAAAGACACGCCATTCTCATCCTGTCAGTGACAAGAAGGCTGTGCCCTAATAGATCTAGGTCAGAGGCTGGAAGCCACCTCCCTGATGACCCACTGAGTTATCTTCTTTGGATCTGACACAGAGTAAGCCAGGGAGTTGTCTGGTCACATGTACGTTTCGGAGGGAACCAGGCGCGACTGGCAGAGAACTTCAAACCAATCAGTGACCACAGGGAGAGTATATGGTAATGGAGAAAGTAGAGCTCACAAACCATTACTAAGATGGAGGGCAAAACAATTATTTTCTAGAACTGGGGGTAGGGAAAAAGACAGAAGAGAAGAGCATGTTCTCTTCCATAGTCACCTGACCCAAGGAGCTGAGCGGGACGCCATTGAACCAGCGTCTTAGGATATGAGGTCACAGCCAGAATGACACAGTAGAGGTTCATTCTTCACTATTCCTTACCACATATTGGGGTTAGGAGGTTGGACTTTTAAGATTCTCTATGTGGCATAGAAGAGGGGCGCAAATCTAAGGCTCAACAAAGACAAGATGAGAGTACAAGAAGGGAAATAAAGGGCTGAGCTTTAGAAAGGACTCTATAGGTGCATGCGCATATGTGTGGTGTCTTTTCTAGCAAGAGTATTTTGGAAGGAATTTAACATAAGGAAAAAGACTTCAGGTTTGTGACTCTTTTATGATTCCATCCCCTGACCTTTTTATTTTAAGACAGGGTTTCACTAAGTTGCCCAGGTTGGCCTTGAACATGTCATTCTACTGCCTCAGCCTCCCAAGTAGCTGGGATACTACAGGCCTGTGCCGCGAAGCCTGGCTAAATTTATTTTATATTAATTAATAAAATACCAGTCTCTTTCATTTTTTGTAGTTTGGGGAATTGAACTCAGGACCTTGAGCACGCTAGGCAAGCACTCTACCCCCAGCCCTCTGAGCCTCTATTTTTAAGAAACTAAGTGGGTGTAGGTCCATGCCTGTGGCAAGAAAAGTGGGGATAAGATGCAGGGCTGCAGTGTCTTTTCCAATGAAGGCTGGTTCCTCCTTCAGCATCAGCCTGTGAAAAGTCCCAGGGGAGTTGGAGCTATTCTTCAGCTCACACTTTCCATAAAGGAACTTGGGGAGCAGACAAGATCCTTTATTATTTTTTAACCTGTGGTGTTTTAAAAGAGAACAGAACTTATTTGTGCACCTGGATGAGAGCTGCAAGAAGGAGTTATCTGAGATATGAAAACTCAGAAGGTAAATGACCTGCCAGGAAGCTGTTTGGACCTGAAAGTGGGGTCTGATATCAGTCGTGCTGGAGATTCAATGAATGGAACCATAAACAAAACAAAACAAAACAAAACAAAAACCTGTGGGAGAAGAGGTGGGTGGAGGAGAAACTCAGAGGGAAAAGCAGCCAATAAGGAAAATGCCCAAAAGCAGTTCATTAAGAAAGAGGGGAAGAGAGGTTGCCAGCTCTGCCTCTTGCTCATCCCTTCTAGAGCTCCGGATTCCCTGCTCCCCATGTGTGGACTCTCACCACTTTTACTCAGTGGGTGGAACAGAGCTTGTGCTCCAAGGTCCTGAGACTGGCAACCAGGGCAGTGAGCCCTCTGGAGGGCAGCAGGCCAGAACAAGACGGGTCTGTGCTTGTTCTGATGGGGTGGTGGCGGCAGTACCCTTCTCAGCTTCACCAGTATCTAGTGGCATGACCCAAAAGTGGAGACACATTGAGGATGGCACAGTTACAAGTGGGCACGGGTTTTTATTCTCAGTGCATGGCAGTATTGGTTTCTGCTCATCAGCAAAAAAGCTTTATTGATTCCAAAAAATTATCCCTTTTAAAACTCCTCTTCTTCCCGTCTCAGTGGAACAACATATTTGAATTTCAGATTTGCCAGTTTATAGCATTTTTTTCCCTAAGAACCATATAAATACATGCAAAACATTGTACATAGAGCTTAAATAATATCAAAATGCAAATACAGGTTGGGTGCACTGTTAAGCTGAACTGTAAGTTATGGCCACACACACTAGGATACACATTGCTTTGATATCAACATTTGTTTGTCATGCAGACCACAATAGTCAACCTTTAGTTGTTTTCTTTTTTTGTACAAAAATACCAGTGCTAGTTATACTAGTTACTGAAAAGAAGAAGAAGAAACTCAAAAGTCCTATCTGCGTGCTGATTTGAAAGGAACAACATAGATTTGTTGGCACATATATATGGCATATTTACATATGGCATATATACATCTGGGGAGAAAGCATGAGCCAAAGGCCGATTCAGCCATGGGAGCTCATCTCGCTCCATCTCTCCTAATCAAGAGGAAAGGGGACAGCAGGCCTGACTGCAGAAGTTCTGGCACTGAGCCGAATGTAAGGGAGTCTGGTCTATTCTGAGGAAGAGGCTAGAATGGCTTAAGAACAGCAGGCATTTATAAGCGCCCACCACCCCCAATGCAGTGTGATATGAAAGGTGAGCAGTGTGTACATTGGGGTGGTACCATGGGCGGCTTCAGTTGTAAGGCAAGGGATGTGGGGAAGAAAGGAAAGGGATGCAGGAAGAGGTTTTCTGGCACATTCGAGTTTGCCATGCCCCTCTGGGTTTTTGGCAGTGAGGTAATCACTCAGATTTGTCTGTGCAAACTCTCCCCTTGGAAGTTTGAAGGGAAGAAGAAACCCAACCCCAAAGAATCCACAAGTGCCCAGAGGGACTTCTAGGTGGTCTCTTTCTTAACACCTTTAGGGATAGAAGAGTCATTTCAGAGGACAGAGGACATCTGTGGGAAGGACCTAGACCTGAGACTGTCACCCAGGGTTGGAACCAGTCACTGTGTTTTCCATTTGGAGCTCTGTCTCCCTTCTAATATATTGCACAAAATCTTTATAGAGGAAGAAAGGAGTCACAAATCAGATCCGTGCATGAAAACTCACTAAGGGAAAACTCCAGGGGGGAGACAAAGTGGAAGAACCATAAAAAAATGCAAACTCCAAATCAGAATGTTCCCGTAGACCAGGAGAGACCAATGTCTTTGGTGCCACTCTGCCAGCTTATTCTTGGACAAACACAAATCCAACAGAGGGGTCCTGATCCCAAACACTAGTTCCGAACAAGCCTGGTCATACGTCTGCACTGGGGCGGGCGGGCAGGGAGTGGAGTGCTCGCTCATTTCCTGACAGCTGCATCCCTTCTTCCTGGCTGCTTCCCTTACTATCCTCAGTTCACTACCAGTTTTTCTAGGTTTATCAAGAGAGGAATCTAGGATGATCATTTCTCCTTCTCCCCATCAGACCCTTTTCAAATCCAAAGCACCATTTTGGGGAAAAGCATTATTAACTTATGCCATATTTACTCACTGCCAGTTGGATCACTGAAACTGAATAGAAAAAACTTATATATAAAAAACATATGCACATAAACACTTAAACTTACTCAATTCCGTATCAACAAAATTTATATTAAAAAAGTCTAGAACCCAACAAGTTTTATTCCCCCCTAAGTATAAAGATGGCTGTTTGGAGAAAGGAAGTACGATGTATTGGTTTTTAAACCAATAACAAATATACTAGTCACCTGTCATGTCGAACAGCTGGTTATGCACTTCCTTCCACAGGGTTACACGACGGCACTTTATTTAAATCCTTTAAACAAAATACATATGGCTGACTCAAAAATATCAGTTTCTGATCTAAAGAAAACTATATTTTTTTGCATAATATTTCTATATTTTCTCTCTTACTATGGAAACTAGAACACACACCAAAAAAAAACTGTTGACTTTAAAAAAGTAGACACAAGCCCTCAGGCACCGTGAGTCTTTTGGGAGCAGGAATGGTAACATGGCCTCCAAAGCTTGTTATTGGCTTGCTTTTCAAAATGATCTGAGGTAATAAAAGACTTGACAGAATTAAATCTTCCAATGTACTTAATAAATATATATGTGAACACCTAACACCTTGGGTGAGCTGTTTTCCCCCCATGAGCATTTAAGACAGAGAGAAGATAGCTGAAGCATGTAACCCCTATTTCCTACAAGGATGGATCGTGTAGTAATGGGGAGGTGTAGTGGGTATTGTTTCTCTACTCTTCCTACCTCGGACAGCTCAGGTGAAAGGGGTGAAGGAGGAGGGATCAAGAAGAAAACGCTGGAGTGGACAGGTGCAGATCACCTTCCTCTCCCAAATGGAAATTTGGCAGTTCCCAAGAGGCTAGGGAGCCCTCTCCTTACTGCTCTCACTCTAAAGGGTGTGGGGGGGCTTCATTTATCTAAGGGGAGTGGGAATGGGGGATATGAATTAGCTCCACCTGCACAGAAGAGCTTAGGTCAACAGCAGGGATAAAAATGGAGCTCCTGCAAATTCGGCTCCACCTTGTCCCAGTAAGGAACACTTTGAAAAGTCTCCTAGCAAAGTCCCCAACTCCTGAGAGGCAGGTGGGCAGGGGATGCTTTGGGCAGTATTCAGGGCAAAAAGGCACAGGGCTTTCCTGGGCAGCAGCGGGAGTGTGTTGCTGGGGAGGGGCTTGAGGGGGGCATGTGGGAGAGGGGAGGAGAGGAGGCCGGGGTGGGTCTTTTGCTCCTTTAAGTCAGCACAATACATAGGGGCCTCTCCCTTTGGATATGTGTCTGCGAAACTGGAATATGTGCAAAAGGCTGAGGCTGAGCAAGTTGTGGGCACAGCAAGCGCAGAAAGAGAAGACTGAGAGAATGTGGAAGCTAAGCTAAGCCCCAGGAACCTAAGCTCAAGGTCTTGGATGCCTACAGGGAAGTTTCCTCAGATCCTGCCAGAGTGGCTCTGCAGCCTTTCCCAAGGCCTCTCAATACTCACTTCCCCAACAACTGGGTCCTGCCCCGGAAGAGTTTTGGCAGATGGCTTTGAAAGCAGTGGTCACCTCGAGGAAGACCCCATAACTGTTTGCTGGGATGGTCTACCTTCTCCTAGGCCTGTATGCTTCTGGTCTTCAAAACCCAAGTCCCTCCAGGAGGCAGGCCCATGCCCACTTCATTCTTTTGCTGCCACTTTAGGAACAGGAGGAAGCTCTGGCCTATGGTAAAACTGTATGTCATACATGCAAGCTTTATGGTCAAGGCTGACCTTCCTGGCACTTAAAAACCACAGCTACCTGACAAGAAGGCAGTTCAGAAGTAGAAGCTAACCTGGCAGAGAGAGGGAAACAGTCTTACCAGATCTTGACCCTTTTAGCAAAGAAATCTGTCTGCCTCTAGAACTTGAGTGTTCAATTGGGGCTTGAAGGGAGAATGGTGAAAGTGGACTCTACTCATCCACATCCTTTCCATTCTCTTAATTTTAACAAACTTGAGAGAGAGAGAGAGAGAGAGAGAGAGAGAGAGAGAAAAGGAAAGAAGATGAGGGTTACAAAAGACCAAAAGAACCTTGGGAGGGCAGAAAGAGCCGGAGGCCTTCAGGTCTAAGTACTCAAAATGGGCAAAATTATTTTAAAAATAATCACTCTCCGGCTGATTTTTTACATTCCATTCCTGCCTCAACACATTTGTGGATCATCACTCTCTCAACTTGACTTATAAATGGCAGACACTCAGGATAAAAAAATCCTGAAGTCAGGAAATGGTGACATGTGTGTGAACACAGGAGAATCTGGGCTGGGGTGATGTCAGGAGGACTGTTGTGACTTCTTTAGATACGGCCAACTGATACACCCAAAGAATAGATTCTACCATTACCTGCCTGGCACTTGACTAAATCCTGCTACCAACCCCAGCTCAAGGTTAAGTTGGAATCCTTGCAGGTCTGTGCTCTTGCTTCTTCATGGTTGGGTGGGGGTTCTCACACACTTGGGAGTGGCTGACATGACAGTGAACAGTCTCATCATCACCTTATAGATGAGATGGATGAAAAAGGAGATAGGGAAAGCAGGGATGGGAGTCAGAGAAAACAAGTTCAAACTGATGTCTCCAGGCTTTGGAGAGGGCTGTCCGAATGGGAGGCGACAACTTGCACTTGGCTGCTCTCCACCGCGTTGTTGTTCTGGTTGGCGTATGGAGTGACCTCACCATCCAACAGAAGCACCCCAGTCCCAGTCGTAGGAACATGTTCAAGGCTTTTGTCCTCTTGCTCATCCAGGAATGGTGTTTGCGGCAAATCCTCATCTATGGCAAATTCAGGGTGGGTCATGAAGTTGTGGATGGATTCTTGGTTCCCGAGTTTCTGGATGCTTATAGAACTATGGAACGCTCTGACCACTTTGATCTATACCAGGGGAAGGAAAAGGAGGATGAGAAGATAGGTGGTGAGAACTGGCCCACAGAACAAGGAATGAGTGGTTTGAGGAAACAAAACCCAAACTATAAAACATGACTGCTCAACAATCAAAACCAAACATGGAAGAGATCATGGGGCACTAGAAGTGTCATGTGGCTCAAATTTCAAGCACTAGGGTGGGGTGAGTGACGGCAAACAACGATGATGTTTCAAAAGTTGCATTTAAAAAAGTCGAAAATCCAAAGCAAAGTTAGCATTCCCAAACAATCCATTCTTAAAATGAAACAGAAAACAAAAAGATTCATCATTAGTTCTTTTGGCTAGAGGGTAAGGATGTTGAAACTAGGCACAAATTAACAGCCAAACTTAAAAGATGATTCACACTGTGGATTTCTGTGTTGAGGCCAAACAGTTTGTGAACGTGGAATGGAAAAATTACACACTGAAGTTCAGTTATCCGTTTAAAACCCTCAAAGAGCCAACATATACCAATCTGCATATAATACACACTGGGTGACAAGTGATCATGGATATTGTGCAGCCAGGCAGACAAACCAATCTTCATTCAGCAGCATGCAGGAAATTAAAGCTCTCCAACTTAATAATCTGCCTGTCAGTCAGAAGACATGCACATATTTACATTCCACAACCTCCACTGTGTCCCCTCCCCTGAAATCCTTCATTCCCTCTCCTAGAAGATGTGGATAACATACGGGGGCAAAAGACGCCTTCCCTCTGCCTACTGAGAGAAGACCTGGCCCTCACAACTCAAATGCATTTCCAGTCTCTGATCCACAGCAATGGTGCCCGATCATGCTGCTTTCTCCAGCTATTTCCAGATTGCAAAGAGGAGCATGATGTTACATGGGGAAGGGAAAACACGGGTCTAGGAGAGAAACCTGATCCAGGAGGTGAGCCATGAACAAGTGGCCTTTCTGATGGGGGGGATGAAGAGGATGGCGGCAAGGAAATAATTTGCAGTTTTAGGGAAATGAAGGAGCCCACATCAGTCCTTGTTCTACAGCATGTAAAGGAAGGAATGCAGGCAATTCAAATTTAAGGGGGAAAATATTGATCATAACTGGTCCCTGTGAATAGCTTTTCCTTCTCCACAGGTACCCGCTCTTTTGGTGGGTGCTTTTCTGAACTATAGATTTCTCTGAGGTGTGGCTTAGAATCCAGGTTGGTAGAATTGGGATGGGGAAGTGGTCGGATTCCAGAGAGATGGCAGAGGGAGGCCAGGGGAAAGGTAAGAAATTGTAGGACAATTTAAGTTTTGGGGGAGGTGGTCAATCCTAGCCTCATCCAAAAGTTCTTCCCTCAGAAAAGATATGGGAGTAACACAGGAGAAGTCATTAAGATGGGGAGGACAAGAAAGAGTGGCGGATATTGGGGTAGGGCACCTCTTTCATTCCTCTGCTGTTTAAGCAAAAAAACATATTCCTCGAGAAGAGGCAAGAATGCGGGCCGCGTAGCATACGATGCGTTAGCCAAATAAACTGGTTGTATTTCCTGTCCTCGTACTTCCTATCATTGAATCGAACCTTCAAAAATACTTCATAAGGAAGCCTCGCCATGGGTCTCTGCTGGTTTCCTCTGCAGCTTGTAGACCCGCTCAGGGCTGAGGGTGCTCAGAGCTTGGAAGGCAAAGGACTCCTTGCCACTCACTGTATCAGCTCAACACCTCAGCCACCAAGAAGAACCAAGGAACCTGGACACACACTCACCATGCGGAACAAGAGCAAGGAACCACTTTTCCATCCTTCTATGATACCTATTGGCCCTCTGATGGTAATCCACCTGTCACATTGCCTATACTCCAGATCTAGGGAGATCAGGTGGAATGGGGGCTCCATATAAGCTTCAGAAGGTCTCAAGTTTTCAGTGAGCTACACAGAGTGAGGCAACTTGGGCTAAGTGAGCCCAAATTCAGTGCTTCTCCTATGGCTCTAGTACAGATTCACTGGCCAATGGATCAGTCCGAAGCATTCCCGCCTCTGTAGGAGGGATAACTCGGTCCACATTTTTGGTCTACTTTTGAGATCTCAAAATTTCTAACAAGTCCTACAGTAGGGCAGGTACCTTTATGCCACAATTTCATTATCTTCTACATCAGGGATTTTTAAAAACTTTCTTCTTCTATTTTTAAAAAGCAATTGAATACTTCACTGAAGTAATTACAAATGAAATCCATTATAAAAACAGATTTTGAAAGATCAAGTTTGGAGTGTGGGTCTAGAGCCCTGTTTGCTGGCTTTTCTTCCCACTTGTTGGGGTGACCATTAATAACACTGTTATAGGTAAACAAATGAGGGAGATAAAAGTGATTTGGGGATGTGTAGGTGTAAAAAATAAGGAAACCTCATTCTTTTGGGGGGGCAAGGAACAGTCATCCAGCAAGACTGCAGGACTTCTGGGGTCTAAAGGGGAACCATCTACCTGTAAGGGAAGCTCAAGTGAAGAGGAGTAGGGGGGCGCCACCTGGCCCAGTGGGTGAAGAGCTGGGTGGTAGGGCTGCAGCACATTGCTCCTCAGTGCTAACACTGGCTCAGAGAACACATGCTGATGAACCATCACACATATATCACCACCAATCCACCCCAAGGTTGGCATCTTCCCTTCCTGGAGCATGGTGCTTGGTATGGGAGCAGTGGTGGGGACAAGGCAGGACTGGTGAAATGAGTGTGGTGAAAGCCCTGCACATTCTTCACTCAGCCAATGGACCCTTCCCTCCCTGGACATCATTTCTGAAAAATCTCTCGGAAGCCTCTTTAGGGCTAATTGAAGGACAAGTCCCAGATGACTCAAGAGCTCCAACCAAGCTGGACTTTAGATTGGGTACAAGTGTAAAGATGACTCTGTAGAGCTCAGTGAGTGGTCAGGGGAAGACCCATTTCCTCAGCTGGAATTCTGTGGGTTTCTGCTTCCTCCCTTTTCAGAAACCAGGGGAAGAGAAGGATTGGGGCCTCCCAACAGAGAGAAATCCTATGAGATCTAGCTCACAAAGGTTGGATAAATGGTCAAATTCATTTGGAGATCTGGAATGGGGAAGAGGGTTTTAAAATGTATGACTATAACCTCTAGGACCTCACGTAAGAAGGCACAGCTGGAGAAAGAGAAGGTGTGGCCTGTCTCTCTTCTGCTCTCCTAGCCTTTGAGGGCTTGGTGCATACCTTCTACTAGCTCCTCTGCAAGAGCCTAATGGGCTCTGCCTTCTAATTAGTCTCCTTGCACCATCAAATCACAGGGACATCTGCCATTAACTGTTCCTACCAGTGAGGGATGATTAAAACAAGGACAGAAGATGGTTAGAAGAAAATGGCAAAACTAGAAGAAAAAAGGAATTAAGTAAGAAACATGGAACATGGAAGGAATAGAAGAGAGGTTCTTGGATATTGGTGAGAAAGTTTTTTTTAGTATTTTCTTGCCTACTGTTAGACCTAACAAAATATGGCCTCCCACCCCCATACCTCACCAAGAACATTTATACTTGGCTAAAAAGAAAATACACATCTAAATCTCATTAGTCTGCTCAGCTCACAGTCATGTGAACCATGGGCAATACAACTGCTCTGTCTGTTCCTCATGTCCTAAAACTGGGGTTCAGAGTGAGGGAGGAAGGGACAGACCCAGCACTCAGGCAAATCCACAGTATATTTAATGGGGTGGAACTCCTTCCCAACCGGTTTCCTTACTTGCTGCCTCCTTTCTCCTCTCTGCCTTCCATTTGGGAAAGGCATAGCAAAAGTCCTATAATCTACCAACGAGAACCCAGGTCCAAGGCTGAGTGTTGACAGCATTTTAATTGAAAGGTTGATTGAAAAAGGGTTCTCAAAACATTATGTGCAAAATAACATACAGAGGGCTGACTATTGGCAGAACAATTAAACTAAAGAAGAAACAAAAAGGGATGCTGTTCAGAAACTTCTACAAATTTTTCTCTAAGTGAAGAAAAAAATGTCACTTTGAACTTTTCATATATTTCTCTTATTCGAAATCTGTGTGAATCAATTGATTCTTAAATCTGAGTTTGGTTTAAATCCCCTGGAAAATAAGATAACAAAGATGCTCAACTTTCTGCATTTGAACTGAACTACCTTCCTTTCTTCGTATCCTTATAGCTTTTATGCTAATTTTACCAGCTAACAATGCAATGTTAGCCATAAGGACTATTATTATCGATCAAGTTCAATACTGGCTCAATTAAGCACAGGTCCCTGGTAAACCCATGGGCACAGTAGCTATTTGCTTACCTTTCTTTAGGTTTAGTACCAAGCCTTCCTCTAACTAAAGAGAGTTCCTGGGTTTTCATTTAACCTAACCTCACATCTAAGCTTAGAGGGTAGAGTTTAGATCCAAAGGAGCAGGAGGAGAGGACAGGGACAATAATGACATATCCAATCAAAGCAACAAACACACACACACACACACACACACACACACACACAAGGAAAAAAAAAACCCTAAGAGAAAGCAAATCACAAAAACTCAAGGAAAAAAAGAATAAAGCAATATAGAGAAATGATCAGAAAACAGGAGTATTGTCTTTAAAATAGTTAAGGTTTAACAGTTTTCCAACACTAAAAAAATAATAAAATAAAAGGGCCCACAGCCTAGTTTTAGAGTAGGTTTTTTTTTTTTTGCCTTTTCTTCCCTTTTCTTTAATTGAAAGGTTGATTGAAAAAGGGTTCTCAAAACATTATGTGCAAAATAACATACAGAGGGCTGATAACCATGGTTGGTTAAAGTGGATGCCACGTGCTCTTTTGTGGTCATTTTAGCAAATCATGCATCATAATAGACTATCACTCACTGCCCATAGTAGGAGATGATACAGCAGCAGCAACAGAAGTGGTGGGGGAAGTTTTGATTGGTGCAACTGCTACATAGGTTGAGCTAGGAAGTTTTACATCAAGCGCTTGACCCATGCTCTGCCGCTTTAGGACTCCCTTAAAAGAGGCTCCCGTCTGGAATGTGTTAATTACTTCGATCTGCAAAGAATCAAAGAGTGAGACAGCTTTGCTCCAGTTAGAGAGAGGGGAAGAAAGAGGAAGGTAGGGTCACGAAGGGCAGGGGACAGGGGGATGGAAACAGCTGGGAAAAGGGGATAGGAGATGGAAAGCAGGAGATTTCTTCACCCACAAAGCCATGGCGAGGAAAGGGGGGAAAACATTAATTGCATACCACACTTTGTTTAAGGAACTATTTGCCATTGAGTTCACACACCCAGTCACAATCCAGTTTTCTCTTCCTTTTTAGCCTATGGTGGACATTTTAGATGTACAGATGTCCAAGGTTCTTCTCCTAACCTACCACTCTTATCAGCTGTACAGAGTCTAGTAGCTAATTCATGGTTTTGGCCTTTACTCTTAAAAATAAGACATGCAACTTGAGATACTGAAGGCAAAGTGCATACTACTGAATTTCAAGGCTTAGGAACCTCTAAACCTATTAACCAACTACCGATTTTTTTGCAAATTTTCCAGGAGCATTAATTTGTTGTTTAAAGGAAAACAGGGAGTATAGTAACTCATACATAGGTGGCCATGATGGAAAGGCCACTGGGCTGTGAGCTGCTTGGCTCATTCTCTTCTGGGTGCCTATCCTAAGTAAGATACTCCTTCTCGGGCTGATAGGGAGCTTAGGAATCAGTGGCCAGACCCATTAGAGAGAATGCCACTAAGCCAAATCAATGCACTGGAGATCCTGAAACATCTGGCAGAAATGCTGATGAGCTTAGCAGGAGGAGCTGCTGGGTGGGGTGGTGAGGGGCTGCAGCTCCAGGCCTACCCAGGCAGTCTCTGATTTTCACTGCGCTGCTCCTCAGAAACACAGGCAATTAGTGTCATTTATTCTCCAATAATTGCCTTGATCTGGGGCCTCCATCAAATCTACCATCCTTATCCCTGACCTCTAAGTAACAAGGAATGAATTAAAAGGATTCCTTTATCCTTCATAGATCTGATGGAATCTTCTTAGAGATACCCACATGCCTAATTCCAAGGATCAATCCCCCAGGAGAGTAGGAAAGGAGCTGATCTGGTCACTCTGACTTCTTTTCCCCAGAAAATGGGAAAGCAGGTATCTTGTGACTCACGGCTGTTCTTATCTGTTTTATTTTATTTTTGGGTGCGGGATGCCACTGAGCCACATCCCAAGCCCATTTTTCCTTTGAGACAGGTTCTCACTAAGTCCTGAGGGCCCCACTAAATTGCCCAGGTTGGCCTTGAATTTGCGATCCTCCTGTCTCTGCCTCCTGAGTTGCTGGAATTACAGGTGCATGCCACCATGCCCAGCTGGTTGTTCTTACCTGCAAAGCTTCCAAAGAAGCCATGCAATGTTTAGGGTTAGTTTCTAGATTCAGATAAAAGTTTGTGCTAAAACATCACCCCTTCCTCACATTATAGTTTCCAATTCCAGGGGCTTAAATCTATAGGAGGAAAGGGTTTACATTTGAGGGGTAAACTGTAAAGACACCTGCTTCCATGCCAACTTTGCCTTGAAATTGCATTCCAGCTTTATCTTTCCAAATTTCTAGCCCTCAAATCCCTCAAATTTATGCTTTCTACTGCTTTTAACAAACTAAAGGGTAAAGGAGAGGGAAAGAACAGCCTAGAATCGGGAAAAGAGAAAATTCCAATCAGGTCTGAGCAATAGCTCAGCTTTTCCCGCCACCCCAAGGGTCACTATGGGAATGACAATACGGTTCCACAAACGGACATGGCGGGGGGATTTTGTTAGAACTCTGGTGAGGCTGAAGAGTAGCCAGTAGAGGCTGCTACAGAACCAGGATGTACATTAGCTGAGAGCCAGGTGACTCTGGAATGGTACAGTTATCCTGGCATCTTCTATAAGCTGCCTTTGGGCTTAAGTTTAGGTTTTAATGCCATTTTGGTCAACTGCCTCATGATGCACCAGGAACAGGTAGTAAACCTAAAGCTATGTAGGCAGGGAGACCAAACAGAGAGGGGTGTGGCCAAGGGGATGGGAACAGGCAGTGGAGGAAGGAAGACCCATGACTTTCAGCCTCCAGGAGAAAGACTGGCGAGGAGCGAGAAGATACTGGAATGAGGGAATCCTGGCTAGGAAAAAAAAAAATCACATAGTGGAAGAGGAGGCAGGTGATCCTAAAGGGAAGAAAAGCAAAGAGGTTATTTTGAAAAGAGCAGACCCAAAGGAAAGCACTGGGCGTTTCAGAGACGGGAGCCAAGGTGCCAGGTTCTGTGGACACTAGATGGAGTCAGCAGCCCAGAGGGTGGCGTGGGGGCTGTGGGAACGCTGGACACCATGAGGTAGTTTGTGCAGATCCCACTGCAATTTCCCTTCCTGAGAGGAGGAACTCAAGAAAATGTGTAAAGGAGCCCCAGGATTCTGCTATCTAGTTCTCTTCTACCTTTCCAGCTGTCTTGCCCATGGTGCGGGCAGGCCACTAGCAACGTAGCTGAGTCTGGCTATGGAAAACGAGTTCTTACCAGGTATGTAGTTGAGAATATCCATTTTACCTATCTTGCCTATGTATTAAGGAGATGGGGTTGCTGGGGAGTTTTCTCAGTCATCTGCAAGGCCAACTTTTGAGTTAAACAGGTTGGGGATCTCCAGCCAATCAGAAGAGAAATAGGCCTGTACTCTGGTGAGTACCCTTAAAATTTTGGATTGATAATTTCCTGAGATGGGGAATCTTGGGAATAAAACAGAAAATGATGTGTGAGGTGGGAGCAGGGCAAGAGAATTATCAATGCTTAAACCAGCCCACTCACCTGGGAGGTAATTATAATTGACTCATGGAGAGAGAAAAAAAGTTACTGTGGGGTATAGGCTGGGCACTATAAGAGCAGTGGGAGCAGCTACTATCCCATTTCAGAAATTACAAGAAGGGAAATGGTTTGAAGAAACAATAGCATCTTCCTTTTTGAGACGCAAGTCTGAATCTTGTAAAAGATACTTGGGCATGGAGAGTATTGTTGTTCATACCCATGCAACCATCAGATTCCCCACCATGGTCTTAAATTTCAAATGGGAAAGATATAAGAGGGTGAGCCTCTTACAAAGACCCCTCTGGAGAACATCTATTACCATGACAGCAACCCAAGGATGTCACATTAAGTGACTGCTGAGCACGGGCACAGGGATGCTCTCCCACTCCTTCCTGGGAGGGCAGGCACAGCTGATTTCCTATTCTGGGGCCAGGGCTAGTGTTTGAAGAGACCTTGTGCAGAAAGCCTGCCTTGGCAACAGAGCCTGCAGCGGGCTTTACAGCCAATCTACAGCTGAAGGACTGTTATTAGGGTCCTCTGGTCGGGGTCCATTGACTACTCTCCTCTCAGAGGAGCCCATGCAGGTACTTCTGCCCCTCTTGGTCCTAAAGCTAGGAAGGTAGGGCTACCCTTTGGTAGTGAGCCTTAGGAAGGGGAGAAATGCTGGCCACAAAGAATTGCTGCCCCCCTCAACGCCTCCCAAGATAGAGAGGTTTCTTCTCCCATGGTGAGGACAGGCCATTAGTAGAGTACCTGAGTCTGGATACGGTTCAAGCCTCGGAACCAGAGGATCTGGCCTCGGCGCAGCTCCATCTCTGCATGGTCAATCTCATCCAGTCCTTCGGCATCCTTGGTGATCTCCTCTTTGGTAGTCCCATGTCCAGCCTCCTTTAGGAACTTCAGAGATTTGGTAGGTATTGCAGAGATGATCTGAGGATGGGCACAGCACAAGGGAGACAGCAGAATCAGGGGGAGAAGAGCTGTCAGTCAACTTACCCAGGTCAGGCCCTTGGGTAGGTTACTCTGCTCTATCACCCTGCTCACCAGGAGAGCAGTGCGGGGAGCACCGATCTGTTCAGGCAAGCGTTCACCATGTGCCCACAGCTGTCAAGCTCTTAGGAAGGTTTTCTGTTTGTGGACATACAAAAGAAAACTTATATTCTGGTAACCAGGTAACATATTCTATAACTTGCTTCGTCATAGACTTTTTCCTGTCTCAGTTCTTCCTTTTTATTTCACCATCTGTCTTTTAAGAAAAATAGAACTATAAGGCATGGAACATCATGGGAAGGGCAGAGACCTGGACCTGGGGGAAACAAATCAGGAGAGAAGATGGCATCACTGCATGTGTGTGCAGAGGAGTAGAGAAAGGAATTAGAAGGAAAGAGCCCCTCCCTAGTCACACATAAAAAGTAGCTCCATTGTTATGATAGTGAAAAGGTAGTTGGGATAAGGAAGTGGGTGGGATAGACCACGAAAGAAGGGACACATGGATTGGGCACAATGGGCCATGCCTATATTCCCAGATACCCAGGCTGTTGAGGCAAGAGTATCACAAGTTCAAGGCCAGCTTCAGAAACTTAGCAGCACCTTGTCTCAAAATAAAAAATAAAAAGGTCTGGGGATGTAGCTGAGTGGTAGAGTGCCCCTGGATTCAATCCCTGATACTTGGGGGGTGGAGGAAAGAAAGAAAGAGGAAAGACAGAGACACGTGAGTATTATCAGAAGGCATGAACTTCAGTAGGTTAGACTTGCAATAAAAGATAAATCGCTTAGTGAGCTCAATGCGTGTTAGTCAGTTCTTTACAGACCAGATGAGGGACAGACAGGGCTCAAATGGGACAGAGGGACTGGGCAGTCCAATGGGAGCCAAATGGCTTGAAATGGGAAGAAGGTTGAAGTTCTGCTTTTGGATGCTGGCAGAAGCTGCTATGATACTGAAGGAAGGCTGTTATCTGGCATCAAGGCCATATAGTCACATAAAGGCCAGACTTGAAGGAGTTCCAAATAGCTGGTAACACAACCAAGCTTCACTCAAGAGCAAAACTACTCTGGTAAATAGAGCAAGGTGGAGGGAGGTGGGTTAGGTATTAGGAATCTAGGAGGTGTGAAAGAAACAAGCACCTGGCTCTTTATGGCCAGGTAGGGCACGACCTCTATTATCCAGGTGGCTGAGCACAAAGGGATTATCAGCAGAGTCTTGGGGTCTGTAGAGAAGTACATTCCAGGCCAGAGCTGAAGATGGTATTAGGGATGGAATAAAATTCTTATCAGTCTTGATGATATTATTATAATTAATATTAACATTCACTTAGTACTTGTAAAGGTATCAGACATTGTTCTAAATCTTTTCTGTAATTTGCTTAAGGTGATTAAGCTTGTGAAAAGGGGAGCCTGGGATTCAAACCCTGTCATTCCTAGTGTCCATGCTCTGAACCAAATGCTACACTGCTTCTCTAGAGATCTTAGAAATTTGAACATATGTCAGGCGAGAGGCATTCAATGCAGATAAAGCCCTGGTGAGAAGAAGCTGGGGAGCCCTGGATTATGTCAGTACAGTGGCCATGAACAGACTGCTGCTTCATTACGATAGAGACATTTGTAAACTCTTCTGAGATCCTTCATTTTTTTTTAAGCAAAGTTCCACTCCTGTCCCAGAGAAGCTAGGGCTTTTTTGGCCTCGAGGCCTGGTTAAAGAAGAGACCTAGAAGCTCTCAGGTGATGGGCAGTGATCTTTCCACCTTAGGATCCTATGAGATGGAATAAACTTAAGTAGGGAGGAGAAAACGAAGGCAAGAACAGAGTCTCCACAGTTGCTTGTTCCACCTCGCGTAGAGGAGAGGAAGTCTGCAGACTGTGTGGATGCACAGGATTGTGTGCCTGTACTCACCTGGCCCCACAGAAGTTCTCCAATCCCGATGAAGAGACACCACAACCACTGGGACAGGCTAAGGCTTGTGCAACTGAAGGGCTTACCCCCAAATTCCACAATGAAAATCTAGAACAGAGAAAGAGGCAGCCCATTATCAGGGAGGTGACTAACAGGTGGACAGCCCTCTACCATGGTCACTGAAACCATGTCACCCCTCTGCCCAGGGTGAAAATCAGATTCTGATTTTCTTGCTGGAGAATAGGAAAGAAGAAATCTAAAAAGGGAGAAAGGGAAATAGATATCAAGTCTTTACAGAGAGGTCTTCTGGAGAGACACAAACATCTCCTATGACTGTGATGATGAGGATCAATATAAGATCTGGCAGAGTGGGGACAGCTGGAGACCTCTTGTGACTATGGCCAGTAGGTGATAAAGAAAAGGCCCAGCAATGGAGAGGAGGAATTGAAGGTGGGGATAATACAGGAGGTACTGGGGTCTACAGAGGGAAGTAGTGTCCAGGCTAGAGCTGAGGTGGTTAGGAAGGGACGAGGCAGGGGGTTCTGGAGCACGGCCTGCTTATAGTCCCTTGTGTTCTCAGATGTTTGAGTGTACCTCTGGCTAGGCAAGAAAGAAGGGGCCTGGTCTTTATTCTACCAGGACAGCCATGCCTTGACTCCTGTTCCTGCAGTGGAGCCCAAGTCAGGCTTTTGATGTCAACTACATACATGCCAGTCACTGCTTCTCTTCCTCTGTATATTGTGCAGCATTTTCACCATGAGCCCCTTCAGAACAAAGGGCAGGGACAGGGAGGGAGCCCGCGCTACACATGCATGCACCCGTGCTGGCAGGAGCATAGAAAGGGGCTAAAGGACAAACTCCATTGACTTGGTCACTTTGTGAAATTTCTGTATATTTAGAAAGGTCATGAAAGAATTCTACAAGTCTTGTTTTATCTCTAATCAACATGCTGCCCTAAATGGAGCACCCGACACACTGGGCTCTGATTCTAGAACTAGGTGCAAATGGAAGCCAGTTGGGAACCCCATGTGTTCACGCACAGCCTCAGTCCCTGCTACCACTTTTCCTGGAGGCTTAGGGAATTCCGCCCTTCATCTTCCCAGACCTCCTACCCCAACTCCAGAGAGAATCTCACCTGGATGACAAATGTGCCCAAGACTACAGAGCAGAAGATGAGGTTGCGGTAGATGCCTGCAAAGACATTCCTCTCTCCGTGGATTTTTCGGGAATTGATTTCATTGAAGAGCTGCATCAGCACAAAGGTGTTGAAGATGATGGTATAGTGCTGGCTGGGTGGTGAATGTAGAGGTGCCTTCCTCCCACTGTCAATGTCAAAGAATTTCTCTCCTGGTGGGGAGAGAGCAAGAATGTGGGGAGAGCTGTGATCTCAGTGAGAGTTCACACTGAGTCAGAGCATGTTGGTGTGGCCACGCTGGTGGCCCATGGCTACCAGTTACGCCAAGTTACATTAGTTATCAATACTTTATTAATCAGATATCTTAGCCCTGGTCTCAGCATATCTGACCGTATCTCTTGGTTTGCTCCATTGATATTTGCTTTCTTGTACTACAGCATGGTAGAGAGACTCTGCACTGAAGTTATGTAGCAGAAGTACCCAAGAGATAGTAGACCAAGCTATTATGCCTAGACTATACTCCACCTGCTCCAACACTACCATCTCTCCTCAGGCCTGTCTTAGCCCCCATGTCCACCTAGCACCCCAACCACTGCTCCCTGCCACCTGTGGCTCACCAGCAAAGACCAGGATAAAGATGACAGTGAGCTGGTAGACTGCATGGCCCAAGATGTTCTTCATCATAGTACGTGAGATCAGAGGCTTATTTCGGCCATAGGGGCGTCGCCTTAATAGAGAATCCGTAGGAGGCTCTGTTGCCAGGGCCAGTGAAGCAAAAGTGTCCATGATTAGATTAACCCACAACATCTGTACAGCTTTCAGTGGAGAATCCTGATGGGAAAAGAATCAGTCTTCTTAGATTTCCTTAGAAACCAAACCTCGCTCGCTCACTCTTTCCCTTGAGATGGCCTAGCTTCTGATATCCGTCTAGAATATGAATCTGGCCACCTATTAGTTGAGTGATCTTGAGAAAGTTATTTAACCTCTCTCTCTCTCTTTTTTTGCGGTGCTGGGGATTGAACCAAGGGCCTTGTGCATGAGAGGCAAGCACTCTACCATCTGAGCTATATCCCCAGCCCCAGTTATTTAACCTCTTTAAGCCTCCAGTTCTTCACCTGTAAAATGGGGTGAATACTGTTACAAGCTTGCTTTTGAAGAATCGAGATAATATGCATATCACAGTGGCTGACTCAAGGTGCTAAATAATGGAAGGTAGGTCATTATCGTTCCACATACATAGATGGAGACAGTGGACCTAGCTGATTCCTGCCCCGATATCAATTGTCCTTATTTTCTGTAGATACACTGTACCCACTGCCCCATGTTCCTCAGCCCCTGCTTCTATCCCATGCCCCCCACCTGGGTGATACAGGCTCCAGTGAAGGCGACGATCACAGCCACCACGTTGACTGTGAGCTGGAACTGCAGGAACTTGGAGATGCTGTCATAGACGTTTCGTCCCCACATCACTGCCTTCACGATGCTGGTGAAGTTGTCATCTGTCAGGATGATATCTGATGCCTCCTTTGCTACATCTGTGCCTGCAATACCCTGAGGCAAGATGGGAAAGCATCAGTGGAGAAGTGGGTAGAGCAGAGCTCACCTGCTCTTTGCACCCAGAATCTGCTTCCTGACCTTAAAGAAGCCTTGGAACTAGGAATGGACACCAGAGGGCACACTAGACACACACAAGAAAACAAAGCGACAAAGATTCCCTGTCAATATCCAGAAGAGGGCTGGTGTCTGATGCCACTACAGGACTCCTGTATGCAGGTTGGGGATGACAGTCATCTTTGATAAGCCTTCCTCCCCTCTGACTCTCCCTTCCTTGGAAGCTAATTAGAAGGAAAAGAACAAGTCCTATCTATCTGTTTTACCTCTAAGTTCTTAAACATCTCTTTTTTTGGTACTGAAGATTGAACCCAGGGGCACTCAACCACTGAGTCACATCCCATCCCCTTTAAAAAAATATATTTAGAAACAGGGTCTCGCTAAGTTGCTGAGGCTGGCTTTGAACTTGTGATTCTCCTGCCTTAGCCTCCCGAGCTGGGGGATTACAGGTGTGTGCCACCGCTCCTGGCTTAGACTTCTTTTACCACTGCTGGTATCTGATTTAAATCTGTGTTTCCCCCATACTGTTACGAAACCTTACATTTTGTTCTAGGACGAGCAGCCTGACAGTACAGTTCAGATGTTCTGTTCTTGTTCAAAATCATCTTACTGGAGAACCATGAAAGGTTTCCCAATACACATGTCAGTGGTTGGAGGCCTGCTTCTCATGGAGCAGTGAACCTCAACAGGCCAGCCCCTAATAAGTGCACCGACCTCATTTAATAACCTGCTTTTATGTAATCTTTCAGCTCAAAACCTATGGATTCATTCACAATCCCCTGAGTCTCTTATTCACTTCTTGAATGTAGACTTCTACTCTCACCATTTCTCTAAGCCTGAAACATCCTCTTTTTCCATCTATTTAAATTCTGTCATCAAGGTGCCATTCATTAAACCTTAACTGCCTTGAGACACAACCCCTAACACCCCAAGACCACAGAGCTATCACACATCTCGCCAGTACCACAGCCTACAGAGGAGCTCATCCTTTACTTTGGTGTGTGAGCAGTACACTATTTGTTCTCATTACCTGGTATTATTATTTCCTATCTAGATGGCAACAAATGATAGACTAAATGACTCAGTTCTCCATCAGAGTTCCCTAGTATCCCCACACAGTAGAGTGCACTATAAGGATAAATCAGTACCAAGAGTAATCCTTAGAATTATGGGATAATCTCCAACTTACACTGTTAATTGCAAAAAGCAAGGTAGAACAGAATATATAGTATGGTCACTTATCTGAGGGGATGGGATGTAAATACAATGTATGTTTGATTATATTCTGAAGAAACAAACAAGAATAAACTAAAAATGTAAGAAAAAAGTTACCTGATGAATTAAGAGGCAATTGACAGGGTAAAGGCAATGGGACAGAAGCCAGATTTATATAAATATACCTTGCTTCACATATTTTACTTTAGAATAGTGAAACTACTTTATACAAATCAAAAACAAAATTAAATTTAAAAAGTAATCTCTAGGGGCTGGGGTTGTGGCTCAGTGGTAAAGCACCTGCCTGGCATGTGTGAGGCACTGAGTTTGATCCTCAGCACTACATAAAAATAAATAAATAAAATAAAGGTATTGTGCAACTAAAAAAAAAGGTAATATCTAAAATGGAAAGCAATGTGATATAAATGAACTGCTGCAGCCTATTGGCATCACAACTGCACAAAAGAAAAACGTTGCAAATGACTTTTAAATAATTTATTTTAAATTCCCAAATAAAAGCCATACTTTTTTATGAATTTGATAGTAGCCTCCTAGTAGGCTATACCTACAGATAAAAAGAACTACAAGAAACATATTTAACTTTTTTAAAAATTAATTGTATTATTGTTAATATCATTGTTTTAAAACTATTATATATATTAAAATAATTATGTTAATACCATTAAGAATAAAAATTTATAGTTTTAGAGCTATAAATATTAAATCAGAGAAGTTAGATAAAATGAGAAAGTTAGGATTCTATAGTTCTAAATTTGGATGAGAAATATCAGTAAAAATTCACAAAGTGTTTTATTTTTAAAACAAACACAAACAAAAATGAGAAATAAAAGCCTATCTCTTAGTTTTGTCTACTGAGAAGACCTAGAAACAATGTACTCAGTAGAAAGAAGCACTCTTGAGTTCTGATTGCGTTCTCTAACTACCATTTCCTACTAAAGTGAGTCAGAACTCCTTAGAGAAATAGGTGATTCCAGATCTAGGATAAGAAATATACACAATGGTGGGGTACGGTGGCCACGCCTGTAATCCCAGAGACTCTGGAGGTCAAGGCAGGAGGATCACAAATTTGAGGCCAGCCTGGGCAACTTAGTGAAATCCTGTCTCAAAATATCAAAACAAAACAAAACAAACAAACAAAACAATTAAAAGGCCTGGGGATGTAGCTCTGTGGTAGAATTCGGTATGATAAATTTTTAGATATGTTTTATTGATACTTATCATTTAGAGATATGTGCTAAAATTTTTATGGATGAAATGAGGCACATCTTGGATTTACTTCAAAATAATTCAGCTGGAGGTGGGGAAAGTTGCTGGTGGCAGTATTATGGGAGGTGTCAGTGAAACACTGGCTAAATGTCAGTAATTGTTGAAGTTATGTGATAGGCACGTGGGGATTTACTATATGATTCTCCCTACTTTTGCATATTCTTAAAGTTTCCTTGAATTAAAAGTTTGTTTTTTAAAAGAAAGACCCCTACAGATATTTCTTGAGTTTCCATCCACTGCTTGGAAAGCATCAACAGAGCTGGGTGCAGGGGCACACACCTGTAGTCCAGCTACTTGGGAGGTTGAAAGCCTGAGCAATTTAAACTCTGTCTCAACAAACAAACAAAAACCCCACCCGCCCATCCAACCAACCAACAAAAAAACCCTCTAACGACTCAATTTATATGGGAGGTTCACAGCCATTAGCGACTTGAGTGTGAGCGTGTATTTTGCTGTCTGGGGAATTCAAAAACTCTCTGAATATCAGAATCAGCAGGTGTGCTTGCTAAAAAACAGACAAACAAAAACCTCCAAAACAAAACACCAAACATTTCTAGTACCCACCCAAGACCCTACTGAACCAAGATGTTCAACTTTGGAATATGTGTCCAACTTGTATAGAACCCACAGCCGCATGTAGTGATAAGACAAGTACTGTATCTCTGAGCTACACCCTCAGCCCTAATTCTGATGCCCCTGGGCTTCAGAGTACCAAAAGCAGAGTACCAAACAATGCTTGCCACATAGTACACATTCCTTAAGGAACGTGAGTTTGCTGTAATTCACCTGGCTAGACAACATCATCGTGTTCATGGTCAAGTTTAAGTTGGTCTTGTTTTCCTTGATAAGGTACTTCATGATTTCCTTGCCTGTCATCTATTTTTTATACTTGATGGGTCCCCCATTACACATATTATTACTGGCCAGGTAGATAAGAGAGATGGAGTTAGAGGAAAGAGCACACAGTGGAATGTGAAGGCACAGGAAGCAGGAGGCAACCAGAAGCCTGTCCTGGCTTCCTGATGGTGGAGATGGCTTGCAAATGGGAAGACACTGCTGAACTTACCATGGCAAAACCAACATCTGCTTTCTTTAGAGCTGGGCCATCATTTGTGCCATCACCAGTGACAGCCACCACCTGCCGCTGATCCCCAACAGTGCTATCAATGATACCTGGGAAAAATACATATACTACAGTCAATACATGTGGGTCATCTGGGGTTATTTGACAAGCACTGTTCCCCATGAAAGGTGCTTTATGGGTCACCCTTCCCCTCCTATTCCCTTCTTTCCTTCCCTCTTCCCCATGCTAGAGGTCTGCAGCAACCCCTGAAGGGCATGATTGTTTCAGGGGGAGCACTCTGAGCTAGGAAAGTTAGTCCTCATCTAGTGCCCTAAGGTAGTGAAAAAAAGCACCGGATGAATCCGAATGCAGAGGCCTGGGTGTCACACAACTGGTACCTACCAGCAGGGCCATGGGGTAAGTTACTTGTCTTTTCAGCATCCAACTTCCTTATTGACAACATAAGAATAGCTTGCTGGGCACAGTGGCGCATACCTGTAATCCCAGCAGCTCAGGAGGCTGAGGTAGGAGGATCGCAAGTTCAAAGCCAGCCTCAGCAACTTAGTGAGGCACTAAGCAACTCAGTGAGACCCTGTCTCTAGTAAAATATAAAGAAGGGATGGGATGTGGCTCAGTGGTTAAGCACCCCTGAGTGAAATCTCTAGTACCAAACCCAAAAAACCAAGAATGGCTTTACCCTCCATGACTAGCTCAGTACTACTGGCACACAAGACATGTAATTTTCAAAAACCTAATTTTATTACATGTCATACCAGGGCTCAGAGGTTTGCCAAACAGAATGTTCTCTCCATTAACCCAAGTGTTTTCCTGGGAGTCCCTATTCAGAACAGGTGGGTTGCTTTGGCTGATGGCTCTTACCTGTCCTGGCCCCAGCCTGTCTTCATCTATCATGGGCACCCACTTAGGAGCCAACCTCACCTTTCACCAGCGTGTGCTTGTCAGTGGGGGAAGACCGCGCCAGCACCCGAAGCTTAGGCCAGATCTTGTCTAGCTTTTCTTGTTCTACCTGCCAACACCAGACACACCCAGATCAGTCATGCGCAGATCAGCCATGCAGGAAAAGCCTACTTTTTCACATAATCTGAGCTTCCAGGGGAGTTGGGATTCCATAGCCCCATCATCCTTATCCTGCCCCATGTGAAGATGAAACCATCAACTCGGTCTCCAAGGGAGGATTCACTGGTGGTAACCACTCAGGCCCTGCTTGTCTTAGTTGCCTCCCATTTCCCACCTGGGAGCCAATCCTTATTTCTTAGACCCTTGACAGGAGGTGCAGGGTCAGCTGCTCAGTCAGGTGGCTCAAGTGGTACTTCCGAGGTCTTAGGTTTGATCTCTGGGTAGACCAGGAAGATTTTTTCTGCTCCACATTCAGACCACATTCTCTTACAAACCTATGTCACCAGTGACCACAGGGCAGTGATGTGGGAGGGGTGAGTAGGGGAAAATCAGTACAAAATCATCCCATGACTGAAAAAAATGGAAAGAAATGAAAAGTCGGTGACACTGACTCCAAAGATAACTTGTGAATGAAGATAATGAGAAGAAGCTCCACACATTACCATCTGAGCAGCTTTGGTGGAAAGAGCTGCTTGGCTGTAAATAGATTTCAGTCTAGAAACAGCCACTTCTCCCATGTGTCCCAGGTGCCTCATGACAACATCAGCCTTTTCCTTGACAAGGGAGGCCCTGGTTCCTGTCACCCAGGACTTACCTCGCCCTTCTCATTGCGAATGAGTCTGTTGAATTCTTTGCCTTCTAAACACAAGAAGTCCTCTCCAGGTGTCAGAATGCCACATTTGGTGGCGATAGCTCGGGCTGTGTTGATATTGTCACCTGTCACCATTCTGACAGTAATGCCAGCTCTTTTGCATTTGGCAATAGCTTGCGGTACCTGTGGAGAGCAAAGAACAAGGAAAGGTGGATGCGGGAATGGAACACCTAGTAAACTGCTTATTCAGCTGTCCCTTCAACAGAGAGGCTGTGCCATGGGGCATGGGCTACATTTGGTTGGCCATTTTTGAATCACTTGGTCCTGCCCCATTTCTGTCCAACTCACAATAGTCATAAGATATTTCATCAACTGTCCCATGAGTTCAAAGGGAAATTTTCCTCTGAAGCCAATGCTTGCTCTCCACCTACAATCCAGACTCCTTGACAGGATATGGACAGTATTTGGAGATGTGGCCACTGCTTTCCTCCCTAGCTGACCACTCTCCACTGGCCTGGCTTTGGCTCCATATCAGTTCTTTGTCATCTTCCAAATGCAGGACACCCTTGCCAGGCTTGGCCTTGACAATCACCAGTCCATCTGTCTGCACTTCTCTGAAGCAGAGATGTTTTCAATCCCCTTTTGTGTTAGAATAGCATTCAGCACCTAGGAACTGTTTGAAAAGAAGGTGCTGGTTGAAACAAGGCTGCTAAAGACAAATTTGGTGTCCCAGTTAATTCTGCCTCCTGACCATTCTCTTTCTCTCTCTTTATTTGGTACTAAGGATTGAACCCAGGGCGCTTAACCACTGAGTCACATCCTCAGCCCTTTTTATATTTTATTTTGAGACAGGGTCTCACTAAGTTGCTGAGGCTGGCTTTGAACTTTAGATCCTCCTGCCTTAGCCTCCTGAGCCGCTGGGATTACAGGCATGCGCCACCACGCTAGGCCTGATTAAATAATAAGTACTAAATAATAAGGCCAACAAAACCTTCGCTTTTTTACCACTTGAACAGCACTGAACAGATTATCTTGCACAAGTGAGCACCTTTCTGCCCTCTTCCCTTCAAGACCCTCCCCCAGGAAGGTCTGGGCAACATGCCAGACCACTTTCTGCTGATTTGCACACTATAGCAGTTGTGGGAAGTAGCAGGCACAGGAACATCTAGGTCTAAAAGTGAGAAGCAATTAGGCAACTTGCCTGAGGTCATAACTAGACAAAGAACTAGTATCTACTTTCTGTGTCTTCTCATTAGGACACACTGGGCCTGTACTTGGGCCCAGAAGCCATTAGGAGACTGTCAGTTATGTTTTCTTGCTCTTTCTCCAACACAAAGTCTTACCTCTGGGCGCACAGGGTCCTCGATGCCCAACACTGCAATACAGGTCAGCTCAGTGACAATTTCATTCTCATTGTCCCATGAGGGCTCTTCACCATCAAAATCCCGGTAAGCTATGCAGATAGTCCGGAGTCCCTCACAGGCCATAGGCTCAATGACATTGCGTATCATATCATCTCGGTCCTTATTCTTGAATGGCATTGCTTCCCCTTTCTTGTCCAGGATCCGATTACACCTAGGGAAGCACATGGTCAGAAAGCAGCCTCTCCCTTCCCACCGGGTCTGCTTCTATAATCTTTTGCAGACATTCTGGCAACTCTGCATTATTCTAAAAGACATCATTCCTCGGTCCAGTATCTCCTTTATCTCTAGCTGGGTAGCTGAGTCCCTCTTTCCAAGGTGGGGTGGCCTGTGGATTGAGTAAGGCATGGGTGAGTGGGAGTGTGATTTTTCCATGCCATTCATTCTTACCCAAGGCTTAGTGACTTGTGGATCACCTGCTCTTTTGAACTTCTTAAAAGCAGAGAAACTTTCTCAATCTAGAATAATGCATGGGGTTGGTGCTAAAGAAGAATGCATTGATTAAAAGAAGGTGGCTAAAGCCAAATTGAAGCACTAGTTATTTCAGCCCTGTTGGCCCTCGACCCAAACTGGGTCAACTTTTACCCATGGGGAGCCTAGCCACTTTTTAATTATGCAACCTCCCTGTAATTAGAATTAAGGATGGAAAAGAAAAGGAAACAGAACCAACATTGCTAGTATTTGCTTTATGTACATTGAATCATTCAACCACAGTAAGATGGGTGGCACTCTGAGGATGAACCGTTTTCAGATCAGGAAACGGAAGTTCAGGTGGTCCAGGTTGCTGGGAGCCATTAGCCAAGTAGGTATGACAATTTCCTTGCCAGCGTACCCCATGTTGCTTAGTGGAAGGACTCGTGGAAATAGGACATTTTGCAGTGACACTGCATCTAAGGTGACCTTGCTCAAGGACCAGGGCGGATCCGGGTTTAGGGTGTTCCAGGTTTAGGATAATCCGGGTTTAGGGTGTTCCGGGTTTAGGATAATCCGGGTTTAGGGCATTCCAGGTTTAAGGTTATTCCTGCTGGGAATAGGGCGTATCCTGCTGCCTGAGTTTCCCCTTGAGTTCTCACGGGATTCAGACAGTATTTTTTGGGAGACAGAAGCCCAGTGGGGGTGGATTTGGGCAGAGAACGTGGATTTCCCCAGAACGTGATTGTAGACGGCTGGTGTGAGTTTGGGAATAAAGAGTTGCTGTTTGAATCTACAAGCTGTGTGGTGGCTCGTGATTTTGTGCCCAGCCAGACTGTGGCACCAGGTCTGAATCCTGGCTGTACCACTATCAGTGGTATCTCCTCGAGCAAGTTGTGTAACTTCCCTGAACTTCTGTGTCCTCATCTGTAAATTAGGGGTGATGTTTGTACCCACCTCACTGAGTTGTGATTAAATAAAAGGAGTCACCTGAAGTATTTAAAAACAATGCTTGGCCTGAGGAAAAAGTTCAGAACTTCCCTGAACTTCTGTGTCCTCATCTGTAAATTAGGGGTGATGTTTGTACCCGCCTCTTGACTGGGGGCTCGCTTACTCAGATGTGTTCAGTGTGGGGCATGTTGCCCAGACCTTCCTGGGGGGAGGGTCTTGAAGGGAAGAGGGCTGAAGGGTGCTCACTTGCGCAAGATGATCTCTGAAGCGCCCTTGCTGAACATGCGGAAGCCACCACCTGGCTTCCTGATGACCGTGCTCATGGACTTGCGCACCGAGTTGAAGGTGTACACCTTGTAGAGCTTCTCCTCGGGCAGCTCACTGCGTACTGCCTGGTAATCCTGCTTCAGATCAGTGACAAAGCCCAGCAGAGCACATTCGGTCTTGTTGCCCACCTGCCGTGCCAGGCCTCCCTCCTTCTCTGGAGGCTGAGGACAAAAAAAAAAAAAAAAAAAAAAGACATGGGGCTGATGAATAAGATACTTTGACCAGAGAGGGAACTTAGAAAGGTATGAACTCCCTTACAAAAATTTCAGATATCTTCAGAGCCTGTGGCAGAGGCTGACTTTTTTTTTTTTTTTTTTGCAAGGGTCAGCAGACAGTGGTCAGTAGTGACCTTGATCCCAGAACCATCAAGGTTTTTAGGAATATGACAGTTTGCTCCAGCGGCAGTGCAGACATCACCCTATATGGGTCTTATTCTAATACCGTCTTTTGGTTTCTGGAAAGTGGGTAATTCACTCCTGATAAGCCCTAGTCTGCTGTGAGTAGGGGTTCCCTCCTTAGAGACACTGCTGTTACGTGGTAAGTGAAGAGCATTTAGTGGCCAGAGATCCCCACAGGTCCTTACACTCAACCCTCCATCTCCTTCTGTGGATTATTCTCTAGACTCACCCCAAACATGTCTAATTAGGAGTGAAAAATGGGATGAAGGATGGCAATACAGGTAAAATAAATAAGGGGATTTGTCCCTGGGAAAATTAATGTTCCCTCTAATCACCCATTCTAAATGACCAGGCAAATGGAGAGCTCACCAGAATCTTGGAGGTATAAGCACTGTTGATAGAAATGCCATTGACAATGAGGTCCAGGACCCTGGGCAGGAAGATGTCAGGGCTTGGGATCTGATGGTAATGAGTGCCTCCAATATAGGCTTGCACCACTGTCATGCGGTTCATGGTCAACGTGCCTGTCTTATCAGAGCAAATGGCTGTGGCGTTGCCCATCGTCTCACAGGCATCCAAGTGCCGTACCAGGTTATTATCTTTCATCATTTTCTACAAAGAAAAAGAGAAAAGGCTTGCGAGGACCCACTGGGTCAAATTTCATGGCCTAGCTAACTTCTCTCTTCACATTTCACTTTCTAGTTCTACTCTCTTGAGATTCTACTGATTTATTTAAATGCTGATGTAACTCACTGATGTGGCTCTCCCACAGTGCTATGTACTGCGTTTGTGAGGCCACCCAAAGTTTGTAGAGGATAGAATGCGCTTTCTAAGCTTTCATCAAAGGTACATGGTAACCTCCCTTCCCATGTCTGTCCCCAAAGAAGACACAGTATTGTTTCAGTCTCACCTTCACAGAGTAGGCCAGTGAGATGGTGACAGCTAGTGGCAGCCCCTCTGGCACAGCTACCACCAGTACAGTGATACCGATGATGAAGAATTTGACAAAGTACTGGATGTAGATAGGGGTACACTCAGGTAGCCATGGTCTTCGATGTATCACAAAGTTGTCAATCACAAAATACAGAATCAGGATGATGACCGTGAGAGCAGACATGAACAGGCCTGTCCGGGGAAACGAGTGCATGAACACAGGCTTGGAGACACTGTAATGGATTAGCATGAACTGTAGCCTTTCTACTAACTTTTAAAACCACGGTCTTCAGGAAGTCATATTAAAATCTTCTCCTCACTCTCTGTTGCTTGAACACTGTGGTGAGAGGGAAAGACAGTGGTTCCCAAGACACATGCTTTCTTCTCAGCATGTCACTAACTAGACTCATGGCTTTAGACTAGTCGTTGACCTCTTGGGCCCTATGTCTTGGCTCAAACTCCTCATTCATAAATAAGGGGGTTGGTCTGCTTTCCAAAACAGCATTCTATGACTCTATCCCACAATTCATAATGTAGTGACTGTGTTTGTCCATTCATTAGCAATTTATAGATTTTGACTTCTCCCCTACTAGCCATGAATATCAGAAAATTCACAACTCCATCAGAGATGCTAGCACATCACTTATGTGGCTAACCCTAGGAAGTGGTCCTCTCGACCCTTCTCCTATCACAGCATACACAGAAGATGATAATAATAGCCAGAATTTACATAGCCCCTACTGTTAGCCAGGCAAGCCCTTTACAACCACCTTACAATAACCCCATAAGACAGGTTACGATTATCACTCTTTTTTAAGATGGGAAAAGTAAGACACCAAGAGGTTTCTGGAATGGCACAATGGAAGGGTGACCCAATCATCCTGGTTTGCCTGAGACCAAACAATTTCCTGGGATATGGGACCTTCAGTGCTAAAATCAAGAAAGACCCAAGCCACCTAGGACATCTTACTTCATTCACCTTGAGGTAAATGGAAAAATCTATTCAAGAGTTAAAAAAATTCACCCCGCCCCCCCCAAAAGAACCCATTGGCTACCCTGAGGGCTGAAAGGATCAATATCTGGGCATGTATGTACCTGTTTGTTGCAGTGTTTAGCACTAAAGCTCTGTTTAAACCATGCTCTGGTTTTGGCCTTGGCTTTGCCTGAGGGACCTCAGTGTGAGCCTAGAGGATGAAGATAGCAACGGAAGCACATTCATTTGTACTTCACTTGATTAGGGCATGCGTAGGGAGAGGAAGCAAGGCGCTTGTAGTAGAAAATTCGAAAGATACTCACATATGGTATAAAATTAAGTTCCTCTCTTGCCCACCCCAGTCCTGGCCCGGCTCAATATGTGAAATACAAAAACAGAGGAAACTAGTGGCCAATTTTCAGGTAGTTCATATCCCAAAAGAAGAATAAGGCAGGGATGGGGAGAACAACAGGGTTAGGCAATGTCTGTTCAGTGTTTCAAACCCATGTATCAGGCTCAATAACTTGCTTCTGCATCTTCAATTCATCTCATCCATGTAGAGTTTATATGCAAGAGATTTCAAGGTAATTAAAATTAGCTGGGTACTAGACTGAATGAATAGGCTGGGCCAACTCACTCCCATAGAGTGCTTAAAAATATTTTAGCAGTGCTTAAAAATGTCCTCAATTTGTGCTGTCTGATAAGGTAAACACTGGCCACCTGGGGCTATTGATCATTTAAAATGTGGCTAATGTGATGGAGGAACTGAATTTCTCACTCTATTTTATTTTAATTAATTTAAATGGAAAGAGCCACACACGATTAGTGGCTGCGGTAGTGGGCGGCAGAGATCTTTGCTACCCAGTGAATGCATGCTTCATGGATTAGCAGTGCTGTCCTGCTGGAGGACTTGTTAGAAATGCAAAATCTCAGGCTGCACTGCAGACCTGCTGAACCAAATCTACACTTCAACAAGAACCCCTGGTGAACCATATACACATAGATTAGGATGGCGGCAAACAGAAGGGTGGGCTCAGAGATTACACAGTGGGATAGATCACACTTGGGGGACATTCCATTTGGGAGCGATCTTCCTTTTGCTCCCTCTTCCCACCCATCCCCTACCTCTGAAAGAAGGTGGTAGAGTGTGCCCAGGTAGTGATGGAGAAGACACAGGCACGCAGGTGGCCCAGGAGCACACTTGGTGGTCCTGCTCTGGAGAAAGAGCCTCTCTAACCAGTGTCTTCTTTGCCCCTCCAGTCTTTACTTTTTATTCACTGCTCTGTGCTGGGCCACGTGCTATCAATATGCATTGGAACTGCCTCTAGCAAACGGCAGCCTCCTCTATCCTGAAGGAATTTATAAACCAAAACCAGAGACAGGCCAGTTATTGGAGCCTTCTTCCTGGCTAAAGTCAATGTCCCTGTTGTGGTAATGTGCTCTGCACTTCCCATTTGTTTGGATGAAAGAGACCTTAGGGCTGTTAACCCTGACACACAGGAAAACATTTCTCTCTGAAAAAGCCTAGGCAGTGGCCAAATTGTGGCAAAGATAGGGACACAGCCAGCTGGACTCCATTAGCCACTCTGAAGTTTCAGCTTCTTTCTGCCAGTCCTGGTTGGGATTCAGGCAGTGAGCGAGCAGAGCGGCCGGAGGGGCACTGGTAAGTTGCGAGAGGCAGGCTCCACCAGACTCACCGGCTTTCCCGATGTGAACAGCCAACCGCGTCAGCTTGCCCTGCAGCACTGACTTTTCCTTCTTGGGCACCTTGACTACCTTCTTCTCCTTCTCCTCATTGTCGGCCCCATCCTGGCTGTTGAGTGGTTGGATTTCCAAGGCCACTCCATCTTGGGTCTTTGCTAGGGTGCACACACAAAGAGTCAAGTGAGCGGGCAAGGTGACAGCACGGAGTGGCAGACAGGTAGAAACGAGAACCCTTCAGTTTTCTTCCAGGAATATACCTTGGGTCCCTGACGTCAATTCTGACCACTCTCACCCCATGCCAGACACGGAATTTGCCTTCAGTGCTCTATTAGGGCCTTTACAATGGTAGCTTAACAACTGGAAATGAAACAGGGGGTGCTTTTAGGGCCTGGATTTCCTCTTCAGTGGCAGCTTCCTGGCATCACCTCAGATCCTCAAGCCAGGTTTATTCTAGCAAGGAGATTAATCATGCCACTAAATGCTATTACCAATAACCATCCTTCCTGGAATGCAGTTCTTAAAATCACTGTTTACTGCAGAAAGGGGCTGAAGGGAAAGGCTAGAGCATGAAGTTCTAACTCGCTCTGTTAAAAGGTTCATTTCTCTCTTTCTCTCTCTCTCTCTCTCTCTCTCTCTCTGTGTGTGTGTGTGTGTGTGTGTGTGTGTATCCCCCCACCCCACCCCTCCCCCGGGAAGAAACACAGACTCAAGACCCAAGGTATTTCCCAGCTCCTTCTTAAATAAGTTGAAGGACAGGAAGAAAATCCCCCTTCTCCCATGCCTGAAAAGGTAGGGAGTGGGAGAAGCAGAGTAGAACCTGGGGTTAAGTCTTTTGGGGGAGAGGGAAGAAGCTGGTATAACGGGACCCCCTGGAATAAGAGGAAGCAGGGATAAAGACAGACATATAAATCCATTGTGCTTTTAAAAGAAGAGCAGAGACCTAAAATTAAAGAATTAGTTTTGCTCAGCCTTGGTTCTCCAACATGTCGACTTACTTTATAAAGACTACTATGATAATGTTTACAAAGGAAAAAAAATTCTCTAGGAGCTGTCTCAAGAAAGCAGTTCTTGCTGGCTCCTAGCATCCGTCCAGCTTCAGCCCCACAGAGCTCAGTCTTTGGCTTAGGAGGCCTTTCCTGAGATAGTCTCTGCTGTCAGACTCACAAACAAGACAGAGACAAGAGATGTAAACACAGCCACCAAGAGAAACGCACACCAGACCAGGAGGAACAAAACAGACCGTGGAGAGAACAAGAAAGAGGTGGGGAAAGAGGCTGAGAGAAAGGGCTCTCTCCAAGGACCTCTGAGAAGACCAGCAGAGGAGGAATTCAGACCAGAAGAGGACAACGATGACAAAGCCAGAAGAGGAGGGTGCAGGGACTTCCCACCTCAACGCCCCCCACCATTTGAACCCCAGATCCGGGAACTGATGGCATTTAAATCTGGCTGGCCAGGGCAGTGAAGCAGAGTTCAACACCCTGGGAAGAGCAGCTCAATCCCACAACCAAGAGAAACCATGACATGAGGTTCCGCGAGCTAACAGCAGAGGGTGCTGCTGTCCCATCTCAGACTGGGACTGGGGCCTTGGGCCCACCCCATCTCTGCACCTTCCTCAACATCTGGGCCAGAGCAGCAGGTAACAGATGATGAAGAGGAGAGGGGAGAAGGCAGATGGCCTGGAAAAGTCTGATTTGAGCGAGGACAGGTAGAGATGGTATATGAATGGGTAGAGAGGTTACCTTTGTTGCGATTTTCAGGGACTCCTTGTTTTTTACCTGTTTAAACAAGAAAGAAAAAAGTGGGGTGGAGACCCAAAGTGACTATTAAGAGATCAGATATCCAATTTGTCTGTCCTGCTCTGAGCCCAGAAGGGCCACACGAAGGAGCGGGTTGCAGGGAAAGCAAATAAATGTAAAGGGAGCTCACGTCTCTGCTCTCATTCCTCCCAGAGGTCTACTGAATCCTTGGGATGTGAGCAGAGCACTCATGCAGGCGACACACGTTCACACCTGAGCTGCTCTCTCTTGGAGCATGGCTGCCACTGAGAGGGAGGGTGCTCTGGCTGGAGTCAGATCTCTTGGAAAAATGGGGTGGGGGTTAGGGAGTAAGAGGTGGGAACTGTTTCTGCCCAATGGCAAAGGCCCTGCAAGGTGTCTTCATGTCAGTTCAAGCTTCCTCCTTATTCACCCGCAGACGGCTGAGGAAATGAGTAGTCTAGTGCCCAGAGAATGTGTTGCTTCCTGCTCATAAACTGCCCTCTACTAAATAGCCCAAGATGATCCTCCTGTCAAGTAGCAGAAATCCTTCTCTTCCCAAAGGGATGAAGGAATGCTCAGGGAAAGGTCTAGATTTTGTTTTAGTATCTTTTCCTCTTTCTCCTATTATCCCTGATTAGGAGGAGCAAGTAAGGGAATGGCAAAGACTGGGCTGGCGTCACCTCTGTCCCACTCTTCTAGCTGTGTCTCTTCCACCAAGAGCCTGTAGTTTCAGCAGAAATCAATTTTATTCTTCAGGTCAGTTTCCTCTTAGCAGCTTCCCCTTCTTTGAGGAAGAAAGTAGGGGAGGAGGAGTACATGGAGTACAGGTTATCTCACCTGCTGGCTCATTTTGGGCAGGTTTAATTCAACCCTTTACAACCTTCCAAAGACACAGGAATTGAGGCCTCAAAGAAGCCCGATTCGGGAGCCTAGAGCAGGGTCTGGTTTTCATCAGAGCTCCCCAAGAGCCACGGTTCACATTTACATCTTGGCATGGAGTTTGGATATCTGCCCTCTTCATTCCGTCAGGTTCTCCCAACCAGGCTTTCCATCCAGATCTGAGCCCTTGCTTCTACCTCACTCATGGGGATAAGAAGAAAGAGAATCTCACTGTAAATGCCCAAGTGTCCCTCACCTTTCTTCTTTTTCACCTCCTCTTCATCTTCATGTACCCCTAAGAGGGTAAAAATGATTCCTGTCTGGGAGTTGATCCCCACAGCAGTCACCACCATCCTGCCAGAACCTTCCATCACATGGGTCCCTATATGGGAAAGGAGAAGATGGGAAGGAGTGTTGCTTTTTATTCCTAGCCATGAATTGGTGTGAAACAGAAACTTTAAAAAACAAGTACTTCCCTACCCCCATGGATAAGGATACACTTAGCAGATAGTAAGAAAAAGCGAAGAGCTAGGCACATTTAGAACTGACCAAGTGAAGTAAGGGTAAGAAGGAAGGTGTATCTTTTTTAGAGTTAGCCCTCTCTTCATCCCCCTCCCAATGACCAGTGCCCCTCCAAGATCACTCCAGCATCTATTTCACAGAAAGTCTCTTTCAGCTTGCCTGACATCCTTGTATGCAACCCACCAATATGCTACTGCCCCAGCTGAACCCAAGGGAAGGAGATGGGACAGAGCTGGAAGAGAGAGCAGTCCTGGAACTCATCGCCTGGCTCTCCTGGGGAGGCAGAATGGAAACTTGGGCAGCTGGAGACTATACCTGCCAGCAACATGGGGTCTTTTTCCAGGGACTTCCTGACATGGTCTGATTCCCCTGTCAGAGAGCTCTCATCAATCTTCAGATCATTTCCCTGGATCAGGATTCCGTCTGCAGGCAGCAGATCACCTGGTGCACAAAGGGGAAAGGAACAGTGAAGGAGAGCAGGTAAGATCCTGGAAGAGCGTGGGGACCTCTAACTCTGCCATGCCCCTCAGGGCTGCTCCCACAGGCCCCACTTATAGGGCAATGGCCCAGGTAGGACCTGGGGAGCCTCTAAAAGACAACTCGAGGGCTGGGGTGTGACTCAGAGGAAGAGCCTGTGCTGAGCACACACAAGGTCCTGGGTTCCATCCCCAGTACCACAAAAAATAAAAAGAAAGATAACTTCAGCTCTGTAGAGCTTTGGACAAGATTCCTTTTCCCTTCCAGGTATTATAATTCAAACAATATACTTTTGATCTTCAGGCACATAGGGTACAAATCTGACAGTCTTTTGGGAGAATATTTTCCATTGCTTTCTTTCAAATTCCTTTCCACGATTTCCTTAAATTCTAATTTAGACATTAATATAATATGGGAGCTTATCTTTTAGGGTTTTTACCATTCCCAGCCCCCTTTTTCCAAAGGACCTACACCTCAAACATTGGGGTGACCCAGGTCTAGAAAACATGGAGCTCTCACCGTATTTGATTTGGGCGATGTCACCCACCACAATCTCGGCCACAGGGAGCTGAATGAGCTGACCATTCCGGATAATGGAGAATTTTTGCTCCTGTTCAATGCGGCTCTGCAGTCCCCGGAACTGTTTCTCCTTGCTCCAATCATTAAAAGCTGTCACTAACACCACGATGATCACCGAGAACAGAATGGCTGCCCCCTCGATCCAGCCAGCTTCTGCCTCCCCTTCGTCATCTGGGCTACTTACGGATTCGCCACACACTAGCCAGGGAAGGGAGAGAAACAGTTACTGAGAGCTTTTGTTGAAATGAGGGTAACACTACCAAGGCCTCCACAAAATGAACAGTGAGGAAAAGAGAAAAATAGAAAATAAACCCACTGGGGCTAGGGATGTGGCAGAGCACTTGCCAAGCATACCCAAGGCCCTGGGTTCAATCCCTAGCACCACCAATAAACAAACAAACAAATAAATAAAATAAAACCCAGGCAGAAAAGCTATCTTCCGAGGAAATCAGAAGTTAGCAGGATTGAGTGTTGTCTCACCACCACCATATCTATTTGTGTTAATGCAAAAGAAGCAAATGACCAACAAAATATGTCAAACCAAGTCACATGTCAAGAACTTAAGATTCCCAGTGGGGTCAGGCTCTTCCTGCTAGTTCCCCTGATGCCAGAAAAGAGGTGGGCACACTTGGAGAAGCAGGGCTTTGTTGGGTTGGGTAAGGGCATTGGAACCATGGCATTCTGAATAAGGATTTGAAGGGACGGGAGAAGGAGGGAAACCCTGGAGTCAGAATGGGTTCAAGGAGTAGCTTACTAGCTGCCAGCTGGTTTCCTGTGGAGAGCCCACTGGATGGTGGGGTGTGGGGGCTGATGCTGGACCTTGTCAGTCACTACTAAGCATGCTTTGGTGGTAGTGGAAAGAACCCGGATCCCAGTCATGCTGAGCTGTTTAGACACTCACGTTCATTTTGTTCACCAGGGGGGCGATAAAAGGACAGGACCAGGGAGATAATGGCTGCAATCTCCAGGATGATGAGTGTGACATCTTGAAGGGCTTCCCACACTAATTCTAAGAAGGTCTTGGGCTTTTTGGGGGGGATTAAATTCTGTCCAAACACGATTCTACGTTTCTCCAGATCTGCAGGGTTCCCGGAGAGACCTGAAAAGGAGACAGGGGTGGATCAAGAATGAGAACAAAAGAATGGAAACAAGGCTGTTAAAAGCCTTTTTCTTTCTTTCTTTTTTTTTTGGACTAGGGATTGAACCCAGGGGCACTTAACCACTGAGTAACAGTCCTTTTTTGTATATTTAGAGACAGGGTCTCACTGAGTTACTTAAGGCTTTGCTAAGTTGCTGAGGCTGGCTTTGAACTCGTGATCCTCCTGCCTCAGCCTCCCAAGTGGCTGGGATGACAAGGTGTGCCGCCACACCTGGCTAAAAGCCCTCTTTTAAAAAAGGGCCCCTCGCTTCCCGATCCACCCAAACATAAGACCCAGCTAGGGTGACCAACCATCCCAATTTACCCAGGACTTGGCAGGTATGGAGCTTTTAGTTTAAAAATGGGCAAAGTATGACAAGTTGGCCGCAGGACAGGGGCTGCTGGCTTCTCTTAGTAACCAGGGTAAGCTAACCTAGATGCAGAACTTCACCTCCTCTTCATGGAGCATGCTGCAGGCTCCAGCTCTTAGAACATGAACATTAACATGTTCCTTGTGATGCCCACAGAACTTTCTCTCATATTGACATGGGAATGCCGGTGACAACTTGCATAGCATCAGCTTCCACCCATTGGCTCACAATAAAGGCCAACGAGAACTAGTTACCTACTTAAGGTCACCTCAAGACAGAGGCAGAGCCCACCCATGTGTCCTGATTCCAAGTTCCAGGGACTGCAGATCATCAGAGCAGAGGTTTTGACTGTAACTTACAGTCATACCCTTTAAGCACACATGCCCCTGCTTTTCTGTGTCTCTGTCTCTCTTACACATACCACTAAGAGGTACTACTATTTTACCAAGAGCTAAGTACTTGTAGGTACTAATAGAAGTACTACTGATATTCAGGTTGAATAGAAAGAAAACAAGAAAGGCAAGGCCACAAAGTTTTCAGATACTACAGCATTCCCAGCATCCTCCCTACCAACACACATGTATGCTGACACACCTGCATGCGCACACACCACATACAACAGATACAAACATACTGCAGACACACAATACACATAACCACGTGACAATGCACATACCACACACACACTCTAGGTACACATTCTAGGGAAAAGAGATAGGCAGTTATTTTAAGTGCCTTCTTGAGAATTTAGGCCCCTCTCCTGGACCCCAGAAAGGTTACTCTTTAAGGCAGGGGTGGAATCCCGATGTGGTGGTTAATGCCAGTTGGCATTCATAGAGTTGTTTACACACTGCAGCAGATTAGTCCTGGCTCTGGCACTGGAAGCTGTTGGCTGCAGGTTTGATGGGATCCCCACAGGCAGGGTGGGGCAACCTTTGTCTTGAAAAAATGGTTAACAGCTGTGGGGACCCAGGGGAAGGAGATACTTTGTTGGAAGGAGCTGCAAGAACAAAATGGAGCCAGCAATGCCAGATGATGTCTTTATACTCGGTCAACATGAAAGGCTCTTCTACTGGAAAAGATTGTAAAAATGGGAACTCAGGTACACAAGGGAGCATTGCTTGCAGGGTCTGAGATGCCTCCACTTCCCATCCAGAGCAAAACCACCAGCAGTTGCTCTTAAGATACTCATGAGTCCGGGCTGGGGAGCAGGGGCCTGCTGGCGATGAAGTGGGGGTGGGGGACTGCTGTGGTCCATACTTGTGTAGTCAGCACTGAGGATGTGGAAGCCACTTGCCCTTGCTAGTATTAGGAGAGAGAATAGGTTTCTGGCTAGGAACCTGGTGTCCCAAGCTGTGATCCAGGGCTCCTGCTGCCCAGCGCCCAAGTACCTCACCTGGCCTCAAGCTGAGGGGCAAGTTAAGCTGCTTGCCAGATGCTCATGCCTCCTCCACCCTGAGAAATCAGGTTCCTGGTAGGAAAGGAAAGCAAGGGGCCGCAGAAGGTGCGTTCTAGTAGACCATCTGGGTGACCAGGCAGGCAGGGCAGAGTGGCCAGTGGGCAGCGCCTCAGTGGTTCTTTCTCCCAGGAACTAGAGATAGCAGGGTTGTGACAACTTGGGACTACTGGGCTGGAGGGCCAAATAAGAGTTCTGATAATTTGGGATATTCCTCAAAGAAGTAGTATTCAAATGCAGAAGGAGAAGATGCCTTCCCTCCTTCAACAAGGGCTAGTAGACCATTATGAGGGTAAAGCAGGACAGCAGATGTTAAATATCATAAGGGGCATTCCAATAGCACTGGTCTGAGCGTGTAGGGGGCAGGGCTATTGCCCTCTCAGCTCTCACACTAATACCTTATGATCATCCTTGACTCCTGCCCTGTCTCTCTCTCATCTTCTATACCCTTTTAATTAGGAAATCCTACCAGCTCTGCCTTCAAATTATATCCAAAGCCCAATCCCTTCCCATTTTCAACTGCCATCATGCTGGTCTCCCGCCAGCAACTCTTGCCTGAGGTACTGCAGGTGTCTTCTGTGTCTCCCAGCTCCACCCTGCTCTCCTGTTCTCTACACAGTGGCCAGAAGATTTTTTTTAAGACCCTAAGGCAGTACATGCCATTTATCTGCTCAGAATCCAATGGCTTTTGCTTGGAGTGAAACTGAGCACAAAAACCTTATTATGATGGCCTCTAATGTCCTTTATGAGCCACCACACTCTCTCCCTGCTCTTCCCCATGTTCACCAAATTCGAGCCCAGCCCAGCCAGCCTTCCTTCTGTTCTCTGAGTGTCTCAGACAGGCTTGGACTTCAGACTTCTGCTTTGCCCTCTTCCTGGGGTAGAGCTCACTTCTTCACCTCCTGCAAGTCCCTGAACTGCTATTGCCTCAGGAGACACTGACCTAGCTGACTGCATTTAGAATGGAAACTTCTCTGCCGCAGCACTCCCAACCCCCCTTACCCTGCTAAATTTTTCCCATCCCAGTCTTCTCACCTAATGTGGGTATGATTAATTCACTGAGTGTTTACCTGTCCCCCTGTACAAGGGTAGGATTTTTGCTTTTGATCGTCTGGTCCATAGCCTGCCTGGCACAATGTACACATACAAATTTGTCAGATGAACTGAATGAATGAGTAATGAATAAGATTGCTAACATTTAAATGACTACTATATGCTGGAAGCTTCATTAGGCACATCTGTGTCTTTCCATGAAAATATCACAATCCCAAGAAGCAGCTACTATGAACCCATTTTATATATAAATAAACCAAGGCCTGGAGAGGTTATGGGACTCCTTGAATTACTAAGTGGCACTCTATACCCCCATAGGAGGCAGCTGGATGTTAACCTGTATCCAGAGGGGTAAGATGTCACCAACTAGCCCCACTTTGTTGGGGCTTGCCAGGTTTTAGCACTGAAGTTTCTGCCTCCTGGGAATGCTCTTTGGTCCCAGCGAACAGGCCACCCTACTTCCTACACTGGGGGGAGCAGGCTGACGCGCCTCCCATGGTCTACAGTTGGGATAGTTAGTCCTCCATTTCCTGTCATCAGGGTGATGATATCTGGCCCATCCAAGTCTAACCTATAAACTCTGTGCTCAAAGAAGGCTCCTTAGGGCCTTTTTTGGATCCAGGCAATGAAGAAGGACAATGGAAGCCATACAAGGTCAGGCCTGCTCTTCCCTGGACACCCTCAAAATCACATACTTGCTTCTTTTTTGCCATTTTCCACTCATTTCTCTTTTCCACTTGGAAGTCACCAAGATCTCGTATAACAGCTACTTTAAGAAGTCAAGTGGCTGTCCTAGTTCCCAGCATGCTCTGCAGCAGGGCAGGGCAGGGTAGCTTGGGGCTGTAAGCAGTCATAGCCTTGGGAATCCTCTCTGACATGTGGCGCTGCTCGGGGAAAGCCATGTGGGGCCGGGAGCTCAGCCAATCCCCAATTTTGGGTTTTCCATTCCAATTCTTTCAGCCCCAGAGAGGCTTTCAGGCCCTGATCTCAGCAGTTTAATTTTGCACAAATACTTGTCCAGCCCAGAAAAAATGTTTTGGGCCCTGCTCTCTGCAGTGGCTTCTCAAATATTCACACAGCCTCCTGGAAAGGGGAAGGAAGACTTGGCAGGGAGTGGATGCTGGAAACACAGGAAAGGGTTTCCCCAAGAAATTCATCAGGAAAATGAGAGGAAACTTTGTTCTTAAGCACATAAGAGAGAAAGCCCCACCCAACTGGGGAGTGCCTTTGGCTCTGAGAACCAGACTGTGCACATGAATTGGGAGAGGCAAAGAGAATGTTAAGCTGTGAAGTCATCACCCCCACCCCAGGCTGGGAGTTGCTAGGCCCCTGCCCAAGCTGGTCAGGATGAGCCAGCAGCAGGGGAACATTTGCATCTGCTGTGAGTCTGTGCAGGGCCCAGGGTCAGGGAAGATACGGGGAGCCCAGCCCAGGGAAGGGTTCGGGTGAGCTTCCCTTAGACACCAAGGACGTTGGAGGTAGAGTACCCTTTATCAGAACCAGCTCAGCCCCAGAAAGGGTGGGGCTAGGTCAGACATCATAAGGGACTTCCCAGCTGTCTGAGTTATGATACCTTGCCAAGGAGGCAGCAGAAGCCTCTCCCACACAGATAGTACAAAGATGTGGTTCGTGTGCAGGCAGTGCTCTTTTAGTACAGATATCAGCATACCTTTTAAGGGCTGGGGAGGTAGCTCATTAGTAGGCAGCTTGCCTGGTATGTGTGAGGCTCTGGGTTTCATCCCCAGCATGAGTGAGAGGGGAACCTTTCAAGTCCTACCTTAAAACCCTGGACTAAGGGGAAGGGAGGCTTGGGATCAGAAGGCCTGCAGGATGGAGCCAGCTCCTGCTGCAAATCCAAACCACTCATCCAAGGGTTGCGGGGCACTTTCCCTACTGAGCATCTCCAGCTCAACACACCCATGTCGCACATTGGCACATTCTCTATCTGCTGAACTCTCGGCCCTTCAGATAAAGCAGTCAACTCAAGGTCAGAGCAGAGGATGATGGACTAGAAAACAATGCTCTCTCCTTTCCTCATTCTGGTCCCAAAGCCTGGCCTGCCTGGCTGTATAGGAGCTCTT